CTTCTCAACAGGTCAGGTTCCTCCAACAGGAACCTAAAAATACTCACATTCATAATGTTATTTTACATTCTATAGGTCTAAATATTAATCAAAGGACAAATTAGTTTGTAATATTTAACAGTTTGTGTTTAAATTGTAGCATGATTCAGCAGAGCTACACTCTGTATATATGCTCCACAAGCTAATATCTGCCAACCAGTTCAATAATTGTAACATAGACTTTATAAGATTATTTTAATTTTAAACTGTTACATTATGTTCTGTTCAGATCACATTGAGCTAAATAAGATCAAATCTGCTGACTTGTGTTGTAAAATGAGACGTTTTCCTGTTTATCTTCTGTTGATAAATCTATAACACAAACAGCTTTTCTGACATTATTTAAAACAGTAGATTATATAAACTGTAAAATATTAATAATAATTGGATTAATATTATTAGTTTTAATGATTTCTACATCATCAGTCCTTTTTTTCTGCTCTGTTGTCAACATTTACAGTAATGGGAAATCCAGAGTCTTGCCCGTTTAGTGTTAGCCGTTAGCTTCTCCAGCCGATCACACGGTCACCTGGTCTTTGCGCACTCCAGCTGTTCTATAGAACCTCCTTGGAGTGTTATTAACAAAAACTCAGCTCTGATTAACAAGATCTCAGTTTTAATTCCATCATTATTCGCCTGGATTTTGGATTTTCAGTTAACAAACCAAGTTTGCTCTGATGCTTAAAAAGAATAGTAGATGTAGCCACACAACAGTAACAACAGACATTGACATGGGGTGGACATTATAACCTATACAGTGTGTATCAACATCCTTAGACTGTGAGATGTTGCCAAGTCAAATGCAAGCAATAAAGTATTCTAGGTTGGGGTTTTAGAAATCTTTTATAAAGTGTAATGTGCCTAACAACAATGGTTTTATAATCAGTGAGGGAATTTAAAATTGTAATTTACAAGGGTCTGCATGGTGTCATCTGACCTCCGATGTAAACAAAAAGCAGTAATATAAAGAATCTGAAAGAAGACATGCTTAGAAATTTATTTTCCTGACAAAATGTCACAAAACCTGTTTATCTTATTATCTTGAGGTAATGAAACTTGTTTTCTTAAGACAACAAGTTAATATGTTTTTTTCCAACTTTATTTTCTCATAATAGCTCTAAATTGTTTCAAAATAAACAAAACGGGACTTAATCAGAAAATAGGAAAAAGACTGAAGCTATAAATGTCAGATTACTCCTCACAGATCCTTTATTGGTTTAGATCAAATGTCTTAGCCTTGATACTGAACTCTTAACACAAGAATCATTCATTTTCACACTATAATCATTTCATTAATTACGTTTTTTTTAAACTCTCATTACCTCATAATGAAGCTTCTTGAGACTGCTTCATCAGTAAAACACTAAATAGTTAAAGATATCTTGAAGGAATGAATGCATCCCACCATCTTGAGAAATGAGAGTTGTAGCCTCTTTGGTTGAATGTTGAAAATAAGGTTCTGTACAATTAAAAGAAATCTTGTGGGATCAGTTGATGACTCTGTGTTGGGGATGACTTTCAGACCCAGTTTGACATTCACCATTATATGGTAAGAATATTCAGTGTTTGAGTGAGGGGTAGCTCGGCAGTCTGACTGGACCTGGCTGCTAGAAACAGTTTTTCAGTCTGGAGGTTTTTGCCTGGAAGCATTGCAGTCTCCTCCTGGGTGCAGGGGGACCATGTGCAGGATGAGTGGGATCATGGAGGATGTAGGTGGCTTTGTCCTGCACCTGGTGGTGTAACTTTTCCTGAGGCAAGCTGCACCCGATGGTCCTGAGCAGACTCTCCCATCCTCTGCATTGCCTTCTTCTCTACCACAGCGCAGACACTGTGTTGGATGAGGTCACTCTCCACCACACAGGTGTACAAGTACCTGAGGGTGTCAGTATCCAGACCTTCTCAGCTTCCTCAGGAAGTACAGGCTCTGATGGGCTATGTTGATGATAACCATGGTGTTAGTTGGCTAGGTGAGTGTAAGGTCATGTTCACACCTGCACTGTTTAGTCTGATTTAATCGAACTCTAGTTCGTTTGCCTGGAAAGTCCGGTTCGTTTGTGGAGGTGTGAACACGTAATCGAACTCTGATTCGGACCAAAAAAGCGAACTCTGGTCCGCCTGAAACCCTAGGTCTCGGATTGATTGAAACGAACTCTGGTGCGGTTCGATTGCATGTGTGAACGCTAAGCGGACCAGAGACCGCTCCAAAAGCAGGAAGCGGACTATACCGCATGACGTTCTGAGTAATAACAGTATTAAATTTACTTGTATGGTGTAAATACCTCGCTGGACGTCTGTATAAGGTGGACATCATGACTGTGGAGCTGGACGCGCTCCTATCCGATTAACGTGGAGCTTCCTCAGCCGCCTTGTGTGTAAAAACAACATTCTCCATGATTCCGCCTCATCTTCCTCTCATGCTGAGCTCATTGTTGAAGACTATTTGTTTAGCACATTTAAAAACAAAAAATAAACCCTATAACCACTAAAATGTAACGTTACTATTGTTTGTTTACATTTTGTGAAGACGAAAGTTGCGCTCCATGTCTTCTGAGGTTTTCATCTTGATTCCTTTAGTGGTTCTTCGTGCAGCGCCCCCCACAGGTGAGGGTGGGAACAGGTTGTTTACAGGGTTTAGTTTGGTTGAGAAAGTGCAGTGTGAATTCAAACCACACCAACAGAAAATATAAACAAAACTTGCAGTTTTGGTCCCCAATCGAACCGAGTCTAACGGACTATCAGGTGTGAATGTGATGTTAGTCACATGTACCCCGAGGTACTAGATTAAGGGGGGCAGCTAGTACTACACCCGATTTTTAGCTCAATATCTGTAAAATGAACTTCATTATAGCTGTTTTTGTTTGCTAAGGTTGAGTAGCTGTCGCAACCATTTTGAACCAGGTTGAATCCAAAATTAAAATGGTTGTAGATGTTCATCTATTTAAAACCAGTTAACTGGTCCTGAGATACAGCAGGTAAAATAAGTATTGAACACGTCACCATTTTTCTCAGTAAATATATTACTAGAGGTGYTAATGACATGAAATTTTCACCAGATGTTGGTAACAACCCAAGTGATCCATACATACAAAGAAATCAAACCATAAATGTCCAGAAATGAAGTTATTTGTAGTAATGTGGAATGGCACAGGGAAAAAGTATTGAACACACTTACTGAAATGTATCTAATACTTTGTACAAAAGCCTTTGTTGTCAATGACAGCTTCAAGACACCTCCTGTATGGAGAAACTAGTGGCATGCATTGCTCAGGTGTGATTTTGGCCCATTCTTCCACACAAACAGTCTTCAAATCTTGAAGGTTTCGTGGACCTCTTCTATGAACTCTGATCTTTAGTTCTTTCCATAGATTTTCTGTTGGATTCAGGTCAGGTGATTGGCTGGGCCATTCCAGCAGCTTTAGTTTCTTTCTCTGAAACCAACTGAGAGTTTCCTTGGCTTTGTGTTTGGGCTCATTGTCTTGCTGAAATGTCCAGCCACGTTTCATCTTCATCATCCTGGTAGATGGAAGCAGATTTTTATCAAGAATGTCTCTGTACATTTTTCCACTCATCCTTCCTTCAACTATTTGAAGTTTGCCAGTACCATATGCTGAAAAACAGCCCCACACCATGATGTTCCCACCTCCAAACTTCACTGTTGGTATGGTGTTTTTGGGCTGATGTGCAGTGCCATTTGACCTCCAAACATGATGTGTATTCTGGCATCCAAACAGTTCAATGTTGGTCTCATCTGACCAGACTATATTCTCCCAGTATTACACAGGCTTGTTTAAATGTTGTGCAGCAAACTTTAAAGGAGCTTCAACATGCTGTTTCTTCAGCAGTGGAGTCTTGTGTGGTGAGCGTGCATACAGGCCATGGTGCTTCAGTGCATTACTGCTTTCTAATTACTGAGAGAGTTCAGCTGGTGTCTTGGCTTTCCATGCCTTTTTACACCTCCCTTTCTTCATGTGTTCAATACTTTTTCCCTGTGCCATTCCACATTATTACAAATAACTTAATTTCTGGAAATTTATGGTTTGATTTCTTTGTATGTATGGATCACTTGGTTGTTACCAACATCTGGTGAAAATTTCATGTCATTAGCACCTCTAGTTATATATTTACTGAGAAAAATGGTGACGTGTTCAATACTTATTTTACCCGCTGTATTTTGCTTATGATGACACAAAAATATGACCAAAAACAACATTGTCTGCCTCTCTGTGAGGAGTGATAAGAATTAAATACAACCTAACTGGGATAGTGAAAGTGTCGCCGCTACGTACTTCGTAATGGGTATGGATGGAACAGATATTTGAGTCATGGGAACATTTTTAAAATGGTTAAGAATGCAGGCTGGTCACAGTCTTCAACAGTTTGTTTGTCTTCCTCAGCCTCTGCAGAAAACCAACAGCTGTGTCATTTCAGAACAACACTCTGTGTCAGCAAAGAAATAATCATTGTCATGTTTGTCACGAGCCATTTCAATAAACTTGTGATTCTGCTGGTGTGTGGAAGAGGTTAATTAATGTTGGTGCTCCGTTGTTGTGCTGTGTAACCCTTTGCATGTGAAACTGTTACACATTCTATTCAATTCAATTCAAAAATACTTTATTGATCCCAGAGGGAAATTAGGTGATTTCCCTAAAACCTACATGTGAAATCCATGTAGGTTTCACAGCACTTTTGCTCAAGTTTGACTTTGGAAACTGATTAGTCAAGTAGTTTTTGTATCACTATTTTTGAACACGCTCAGACCAAATATATTTTCTGTCCTCAGGAATGAAGACCTGAAGGAGATGCTGGAGAGCAACAAGGAGTCACTCAAACTGGAGGCCATGAAAAGGATTGTTCAAGTGAGAAATGTTGTACAGATTTCACAATTTGTTTTCTTCTGCTAGGTTTAATGCTCAGTGTTTATCTCTCTCTCTCTTTTCATGCTATTTTTTAGCTAATTTCCAAAGGAAAAAATGCTTCAGAATTATTTCCTGCTATTGTGAAGAATGTGGCAAGTAAAAACATTGAGGTATGTCACTTTTATTTAAAATTTTCTGCTAGTTTCAATTTTAGAGTGACACCACATAGCTGTGTAGCTTTGAGTAAACCTCTTATCAGTAGGAATGCACCGACTGCAGTGTTCTGGCTGATCTCCAATCTTCAAAAAGTCTGACCTGCTGATTCCGATTTTAATTGATACGTTTTTTTTTAACGGACACTGTTGAGTGTTATAACGTCACAATACACCTTCAATTTTCCAATCTTATTTTATTGAAAGACATTTTGGGTGCACGATCGTTATCGGCCCGATATCAGGGGATTATGACGTCATACTTATCGGTCCGATATAAAAAACAGAATCGATAATAAATGTACATGTTTGCCAGCACTGCTTTATTTTTTTTATCCGTTTCGGTCAAGCCGCTTCCTGCCCGACACAACCCGAGCAATGTTCAAGTTGCGTCAGAAAAAACTACTTTTTCCCTAGAACAATAATTAGAATACTCTGTGCTGAAAAATAACCAGTCATTTTAAGAATTATTTATACAACAGGTAAAATAAGTACTGAACACGTCACCATTTTTCTCAGTAAGTATATTACTACAGGTGCTAATGACATGAAATTTCCACCAGTTGTCTGTAACTGTGTTGTTTATCTTCTCCATTTATTTACTGTTTATTTGGCAACCTGCCCTGCTGTTTGACCCACATCACGTTCTGGATGCAGGTCAGCTGATCCCAGAAACTCTGTGCAGCAGCTTCATATCATCTGTTTACTGAACTTTATGACAACATAAAGCCTATTGTTAAGTGTTGGGTGACCATATTGTAAATTATTAAAAATTAAAAGCTGCAAAAAATATATTTTCAAACTATTTATTGCCAAATTTAGTCTAATAATTGAAAACATGGATGAAATAAGAAATATGAAACCAATAAAATAAAATATGTACAAAGCAGAACACAGCTAAATGTATCAAAAGTATGTCTATGTAATGTTAGAATTTTCTGAGACAATGAATTTTTAGTTTTTCATTTTCTTTTCCAGTAAGAGGTTTTTATTTAATTGAATTTTTGGACAAAAATAATCGCAATATATCACCTTGCTTACAGTATCGCAATATATCGGGATATATCGTATCGTAACCCCTCCCCCGATATGAATCATATCGCCAAATTCTTGCCAATACACAGCCCTAATGATCATTCTGGTTTTTGCTGCAGTTGGTCAGGTCTACATACAGCAACGTTGTGTCAAAGGTAAATGCAAATCGGGACAAAAAGAAGTGCAGCATCAGGAAAGTTTGTGGAAATGATGACACAGCAAATACATGTCGTAATCAAAGCTAAAGGCAGTCTAACGAAATATTGGAGCATGTGACCTATTTTTTGGCCATGCAGTGTGTGTTGATGGTCTGAACTGTTACCTCAGCAACCCGACCACAGATAAGTGGAAGAGGTTGGAAGAGTGATTGGATTAGTGACTAACAACAGACATCCAAATGTTTTACAACTTCTCTTTTTTTCAATAATTTTATCTTAATATTAACTAATAAAAAGAATATTAGCAGCTCATTGTAACTTTTTCTTTGTATTGAATAAAAGCAACAAAAGTGGTGCAGCAGCATGTAAACAATGCAGAATGCACTGTTTGCTTAACTAAATCACTAAATCCCATGTGAGTCCTAAACAAACTCTTACTTCAGTAAAAGGCCAAACTAAGCAGCAGTTTAAGATGGGGCTTCATGTCTGGAGCCTTTGAATATTGATTAGCAGCAACAGAATAATCATATAGCATGAGGGGCAGCGTGTGAGCAGGGGTCCTGAGGCTGGGCGCATGCTGCCGAAGCAGCTCGTAGTGGGGTGTGAGAGCAGGCAGGTGGGTGTAATTGGGAGGAGAGAGTCCACAGTCACATCTCGTCTCTCGCAGCTCGTACACACCAGCTGCTAAGGTTGTGTGAGGTCTTCTTCGTTTATTCGTTCGCTCTTCTCTTTTAGCTCTTTCTCACTCTACAGTAACTCTCAGTATAAACGGGCTCGTCCTTTGCACCCACCCACCCCCTTCCCCCCATCACTGTGAGCAACCATTGATCCACACTAATTATTGCACAAGCATCAAAACACAAGAGCCTGCCGTTTATTGACAGTGGTGCGTGATTTGATATCACTGCTTTTTATTTTCTTTAATTATTTATGCAAGCCTCAAAAAAACTTTGCACTGTTTTCTTATTTGTGTTTAGTTTATTTGTGTATGTCTTTAAGCACAATTTCACTCATTAAAGACTTAGCGTTATTGAAGAAACACATCTCCCACTGCTTTTCATGCGAAGAGCTTTAAACCAAGATTATCTTATGGTGAGAAGTATTTTATCTATTTTGGTCAAACCTTATGTTTGGTACAATTTCATGACATTGAGACATCATTCTGAGTATGTGTTGTGAATAACAGTCAACTACTACCATATCAAATTTTAGCTCAAAATCTGTCGAATTGCTTGAGTTGTCCCCTTTTTGTGGTGGCTAATGTTGATTAGCTGTGGAATGTCTCCAAATCAAATATATTTATTTAAAGAACTGTTGGTCAAAGTGCTGCACACAAAACAATAAATAGCAAAATTATAATGTCAAACACAAGAGAACACAAAACCAAACAAGAATTTTAAAATAAACAGTATAGAACATAAAATAAAACTTAAAATAAAACAAAAATGTAAAACTCTTGTGCTTTATTAACCCTAGGAATACAAAATTTGTTTATAAAAAGAGTTGAAAACACCAAGGGTTGAAGCCTGTTTAGGGATGGATACCTTTGGCATTTGAATAGATTCAGTACTTGAATAGATTCAGTACCAACATCCGGTACCTGGGAATCGGTACCGGTACTTAATGGTACCAGTTTTTGTTACTTTGTGTGTGTTGTTTTTTTTAATAATAAACTTTTATTTTTTTTACATATTTCTCAATATATAAAATTAACAAATACCAAGACAACATCTAACTCTATGTATTGTAACATGAGTTGTGTAACTTATTTCTTTAAGGTGAAAACTGTTGAAAACTAGACTGTTTTGTCTTATTGCACAAATTAAAATCCAGCTCCACGTGTTTCTATTGATGTCATTTCCCCGCTAGAAAAACTGTGTGATGGAGGTCCATGGAAGGCAAATAAGTTTAAATCAAATAAGCAAAAGAGGATGGAGTTAAAATAAATAAAAGCTATTCAAGCTACATTTTGAGCATCCAAAACGCTCCAACACTTCAAGTTAGCTGCTTGTGCTCTTTAGGTCAGACGTGTTCGGACTGTCAGGAAGCTCCTCTGTTGTTTTCCTCTGCTGGTCTCTGTTTAGTGGTGGATGAAACAAAGAAAGTGGAGGTATTTTATTTACTTTGAGCAAGAGAACGTCGTGTTCACAAGATAATTAATCCACCAGATAATTCAGAGGCGGTCTGTTCGGCGACTTTTACTCCAGGAGTTGCGTGCTGTGAGGCTCGCTAAAGCGAGTCACTTTCAAGCTACGTTCTGAGCTCTGTTTACCAGCGGCTGCTGACGTCATTACGTTCTTGCGCAATGCTGCGTTCAGGACAAGCGTGGAAAACTCACCACCCTTATGCTAATATGGTCACAATTAGGGTTGGGCATCATTTCAATTTGAACGGTTCCAATTTCGATTCCTTTTTTCGATTCCGATTCCTAACGATTCTTGATTCCGATTCTTTTTAGAGGCTTTAAGTGTACATGGTTTAAATGGAGCGTAATGTAACCCGAGTTCTTTCTGGATGAAATAATTTGAACTTCTTTAAGAATTTCTTACGGTTTTTTTTTTAAATCGGTAGATATTAAACCTAAAAAATTTAAGACAGATAATTTGTAGGTGGCGTGTATTTGGGGTTGATAGGGGTCTTTTATTTTAGTAAAGTTGAGCCACATTTGTGAACGCCGCCGAACACCTTCCATGTTTGCAAAACAATGCGGCTCTGCGTAGTGCGCGCACGCTTCTTCTTTGTTGGTGTTTAGGCACGTCCGGTTTGTGGACTAAGAATCGAAACAAGGAATCGAATTTTTAGAAATTGAACGATTCCGGGAGAACTGGAATGTTAGTCCCGGTTCCAATCGATACTGGAGACTCGATTCTCCACCCTAGTCACAATGATGCGTTTAGGTACCGAAACATGGTACCGTTTGATGTTATGTGAATAGATACTTGGTAGTACCGACAGAATTCGGTCTGTACCGAATTCGATACTTTTTTTAAAAAGTATCGAATTCGGTACCCATCCCTAAGCCTGTCTGAAATGACGAAGCAGCTGGTTCCACAGATCACCTCTGTGGACCAGCCTTGACCTTCAAACAGTCCTGATACCTGCATGGACTCTCAAGATATTCATCAACACTTGCAGTTTATCCTTTTTCTTCTTTTGTTAAGCCGTCCTACACTCTTGTCTGGCTGAACAAGTGATTGCCTAATAAAAGTTTTTGTTTGATAGCAATCTTTCATGGACACATCCCCTCCTCATTGACGCAAAGTCCATCACCAACATGGGTACCAAACCCATCCTTCATAATCTCCAGGAGTTTAGACTGGATGAAGAGGGGATGAAAGCTGGCGAGGGATGAGCGTCCTCAGACCAGCAACACGTATCAGGCAGCTGTAAAATGGATCTGGAGAACACTAGTAAACAATAACTGAACAAATTGCCAAAAAAGCTCTAAAGCTCACAAAAAGACAGACGCATCACCTGAAACTCCCCCACTACCCCAACAGCTAAGGCAGAACAGTGCCACAGCAAAGGCGGCAGGAACACCTGATAATACAGTTCATGATATAGTTTGCTAACAGAGTCAGGGTTACCTCTAAATGGTAAAGTTTAAAGGGATCCATGATTAGTTGTAACATTAGACTTTATTTGATAAACATATATTTTAACTGTAAAATAAAGACTGTAAAAATACTGTAGGATGTTCAGTTTTTATAAGTTTTAAACAGAGTTTAAAAATATTTTACACGGATGGGGCCATTTTATTTACAC